TCCACCTAAGGTGAAGAGGATGTGCCTTGTGTCAATCATCTTGACACCGGCAGAGGGGCTAAGATGGCAGTTCAATGGCAGATAATCCTGAGTGGAAAGTTTGGACTGTGTGTGTGTGTGTGTGTGTGTGTGTGTGTGTGTGTGCGCTCGCCACAGCCCAGCATGGGATTTCTATCCACAGGTAGGCCAGATGCTACCTGTCATCTCCATTCAATCAATGTAATCACTGACCTTTGCAGTAACATGGTTGTTTGCATATCATATCAAGGCCAGGGGGAGAGCCAGAAACAAAGATGAGTGAATAGATGGAAGGGCTTTTTCTTTCTTATTCTCCTCCATCAGCACCACCACCAAACATCCACCTAATCCCTTCTAAAATGAAAAATTTAGAGAGACAAGCTAGGAAAGAGGTTTTTGTGGGCAGTCAAGTCTTCCATACTCACCGCTTGTGCAACGCTGTATTGTCAGTAGTGTGTGTGTGTGTGTGTGTGTGTGTGTGTGAGACCCATACAAAGCTATGATCTGCGGGCTGATACAGTATCAGTTAGGTGCAGCTGTCTGGTGAAACGGTCGCAGAAAGGGGAAGCTCTGACAGTTACCACACAGTCAGTGAATCTGCAGTATGGGCTTCCCTCCCCTGCCAACTTGCAATGTACAGAGGATCCCTGGGAACACACACTTTGATCTGCTGATGCTTATCTGGGAGTCAGATGTGCACAGAGGTGTGTAGCAGCGGGCAAATATTGTTTGGCCTCATATTCAGATCTTTTACATATCTTTGATTGTTTGATTGTTATTAGTGATGCATTTGCATGAAAGCAGCATGTTGTTGTGGTATCTATTCAAGGTGAACTACTTTACATACTGTTCAGCAGTTTCATGTCTAAAAAAAGTACTATATTTTATGAACTGATAGAGGCTTGGAATGAAAATTTCTTCCTCAAATCTACAAATTAATGTGTAAATATAGCTGTTGGTTAAATGTACTTGAGTAAAAAATATTTTCATCTGAAATGTAGAGGACTACAAGTATATCATGTACTGTAAAAACCAAAGTACTTAGCTACCCCAAAATACCTTGAAATCTTACTTAAGTGCGTCACTTGAGTAAATTTTACTTCCCACCACTGTGTTTGTGTTGAATGGTAAATGGACCTGCACTTGTATAGCACCCTTCTAGTCATCCGACCACCCAAAGCACTTACACTACGAGTCACATTCACCCATTCATACACATTCACACACTGGTGGCCGAGGCTACCATACAAGGTGCCACCTGCTACTCAGTTTGAACACACTCACACACTCCTGATGAACAGCCATTGGGAGCAATTTGGGGTTCAGTATCTTGCTCAAGAATACTTCGACATGTAGGCTGGAGGGGCCAGGGATCGAACCACTGATCTTCCGATTGGTGGACGACCTGCCCACATCAAAAGTTTTTCAGGGGTTCCTAGTGCCGGTGTGTTATTAAATAAAACAGATGTTGACAAAGTTTTCTTTTGGGGATGTAATTTATATATGAAAAAATGTAATAAATTCCAATATATTTTATCGCAATACTCAGCTTATCGGATCTTCTAGTGATTCCCACCCCTATCTGTTACAAGTGAAAATTCTGCAAGTTAAAGTGCTCATTATGCAGAATGGTCTATTTCTGAATAATATATTCATAATATTGTATTATAACTGGATTATATGTTGGTGCATTTATGTGTACGCATCACTTTCAGTGTTGCAGGTAAAGGTGGGGCTAATTCTACTTAACATACTGCGGGGTAGCTCATCTATAATAATATATTACGATAATATTCTGTATTAAAGGTGCTGTATACAACATTAAGAACATTAATATAGCACAAACTGCTAGAGATATAGTGGAGTAATGCCATCCTGGCCAGAGAATGAAGTCATGCTCCCTCTGCATTTGTTGTCATCTGAGCCTCTCTGTTTTTTGTTGTGGTAGTTGTGCCAGTTGCGTGTGCAAGTGAGTTCCTGTGTGTGTGTATTCCACTCGCTAGCTAATCGCCACTGCTCTGCACTGCACTCATACAGCTGCTGATAATGCCATCCCAACCCTCAGTGGCAAAATTGTGTCATTGTGGAAGCATGGCACCCACCCTCCTTCTTTACTCGCTTCAGTACATCAGTCACATGATCACAGCCTTCCATAATACCTGGGTTATTCACAAATTACTGGCTCATCATTATGTGGAATTTGTATGAATTTTGGTGCATTACTTTAAGTAGGAAAATGTACGAATATTGCATGAGAGCAGCCTACTGCTCGCCACCGGCTCAGCCACCTCCATGTTGAGAGCCATGTGCAGGCAATCCTGGCTTGGACTCTGAACCATGAATATGCTCATTTAAGAGTCGACTTAAAACTCTCCTCTTTGGTAAAGCTGATAGTTAGGGCTGGCTCAGGCTTGCCTTGGACCAGCCCCTAGTTAGGCTGACATAGGTCTAGTGTGCGGGCGGACTTCCTGTGATAACTGAGCTTCTCTCTCCATTTGCAAACATCCATGTCCCATTAATGCTACAGGCTCAGCCTTCTCCCCCTGAGCTTTTGGGCTCCCTTGTGTGTCCACGGATTGCAGTTGCGCCTGGATTGTGAGTTGTAGTTGCGCTGCTGCCGTGTTCCTGCCTGATGCCTACTATTACTGCTATTATTATTAGTCATACCTCTACCATTATTATAACCTTATAACTAATATTGTGACATACATATACTATCATGTATTAATATATGCATATAAAATTCATAGGCTACTACCATATACTACTATTACTATAGATTATTTCTATTATGATTATTATGTTATTGTTTTTATTGTTGTCGCTGTACATCTCTCGCTGTGTATCATTTTGTCATATGCATTACTCTTAGTTTATTATGTTGATTTGTTTTGTACACCCAACATTTATTGTGCCTCTGTCGGTGCTGGAGGAGGGATCCCTCCTCCATTGCTCTTCCTGATGTTTCCACCATTTTTTTTCCACCGTTAAAAGGGTTTTTTCCTTATCCACTGTGAGGGTCCAAGGACAGAGGGATGTCGTATGCTGTAGAGCCCTGTGAGGCAAATTGTGAATTGTGATATTGGGTTTTATAAATAAAATAGACTGAATTCAACTGAATGTCATGAAGCACTTTTAATAATCTGAGTCTCCAAAGTAGCAAGTGAATAAAGCTGTAATGATGTAAAATGTATATTTACCTTAATAGTGTAAAGTGGTATAAACCTGAAATACTCAAGTAAAGTACATGTACCTGAGTAAATGTACTTAGTTACTTGCCCCCAGTGTGTGCTATAGTATAATAAGCATTTATATTGGTGTATATTCTCATCATGCTGCCTCTCCTCAAGAGCTTGCATTCATCAGTAGTGTTGTTATGGGTGTCCCCCCATAAAATAATAAGAAACACATCTTCCTCTCTTATCCAGTCTTTGCTGATAAAACACCCGGAGCTCCTTTGGATGAAAAATTGCTAATCCTGAAAACACAATTCTTAACCTCACCTCAGAATGACTTAACAGGCTGTAAGATTACGTCTGGGCTAAATATTATTATTGGTCGTTTCTTAAAAATACCACGCCAAATTAAATGGTGTTTCAAAATGCAGCTCGACTTTCAGCAGCCTGGCAGAGATTTACTTTGATTTCTTAAAGGCCTGCGAAGGCCCGAGCAGAGATAACAGTTGTTGAATATGTAACACCAGCCATTTTTCATAAACTGAGTGGCATTATCCAGAAATAGGCTGCTAATATTGGTTGAGTGCTTTCTTGCCTTGTATCGAAAGTCATTAGTTTCCCAGAAATGGAAATGGAGTATTGATAAACTACTGTACAATGGTCCTAATAGTTTTGTTGTTAAATTGTACTGTAATTGAGGATGGATAGTGTATGATGTATGTCGGGTTTATAGGGGTTTATGGCTTTCATTTAGCTTCTGAACTAAAAACAGATTGGGAAAAGTCGGATTTTAAAGTTGTCAGGTAGCCAGACAGAGAAAACAGTTACTGATTCAAACAAACAGCATCAGTTCGTATTGCATATGAAACCAAAAACACATATTCTGAATTTCTTTACAACCTCATGGCCTCAAGACAAACAGTTAGAAAGTGAAAAATGTTTTCTCTGGAACCTGAATTAGGAAATCATCACTTTTGAAACTGCTTTTTCATGTCCTTTTGTAGAGGAAGTACAACACTGATATAAATCTACATGTCAGTTAGATCTTTTTTGTAAAGAAGGTCATCAGCTTAAAAAACAGGACCTGTAGAGTAAATTGTAAATCTGTCTTGGATCAATAATCAACATTTCTGTGTGTGTGTGTGTGTCACAGTAAGTTAAGTTTTGTTTTGCTTTTTTCCCACTTTCTGGCAGCTTATTATAGCTGTTTATTAATCACAAAAAAAGTCAAATTAGGAAAAGTGCAGCCCAGTTTATCTTCAACCCTGGTGTCACATTTAAATCCCCCAAAGTTGATGGTAATCAATAAGAATGACAGCATCAGATGTTTTCATTTTAATTCCATCTCCCTGTACTATTGTTGGAGCCAATCAGTAAGCTACTTCTAATGTTAGCTCTAAGTTTAGAGATATGCACAGAGGTGGGGGGGCGCCTTGTCACACTTTCCACACTGACTGTTGTTACAACCGTCCATCACACAGTAGTAGCGTCTCTTGTCTCTTTAAATGCGGGTTGCGTAGATCCTTCATGAATGAAACCATGTGATCCAAACATCATTTGACGTCTGGCGCCTCCGACCATAGACTAAAACAAGCGAGGAAGGAGTGGATATATGTAGACCTGCGAGAAGGCGTGAGCGGAAAAAACATTTCTCCAGCTGTCTCTCTCCACACCGGGTCGACCAGCCATCGGCGAAACCCAACCTTCGAAGGTGCGGTGGGCGAAAGGCGCCGGTTTGACTTCTGGTGAGTCAGCTTTTGTCGAAGTCAAAACTGAAATTGCTTTTAAAAAAAGTGCTGAATATAGATGTGTTGTTTTGCTGAGTGTGCACGACCACCGCCGCTGCCATGCCGTTACCCGCCGCGCTTGTGTTGCCGCTTGTCCCGGTGTTCGCCGCTGCCGCTGCCGCTGTCCTGCTCAGCCGAACTCACAGCCGTTTAAAGGGCAGCAGGCTGTTAGTGCTGAATCATCACGATCCAGTCGTCATCCAGACCCGCACATGCTGTTCCGAGACCGGGTCGTTTCACGCGGAACAGCCACGCTAACCGACCAACCGGTGATTTCATAATAACACAGACAAAGGGGGTGTACGTTGCGTACGGCTGTCAAGCTTAAAAAAGAAGCCATGTGTCGGAATTAGAGGACCGTGCGGTGCGGGGAGTACGAGAGCGAGTCGGCTGTCTGTGGCGCTGGTATGGCCGGGGATTCCCTCGTTTTACGGCCACTAAATGGCTAGATATTCAGAAAGGTTAGAGTAAAGAGAGCTAGGGAACAAACCTGAACACAGAGTAACAACTTAGGGCAGCGGAAACCCTCGAAAACAACACACAACCTCAACGCTAGCTTCCCCGGCTGTCCTCTCCTCGGGGTGCTGAAGCGGCAGCGGCGGACACAGACCCAAAGCCTCCCGCTGTCGCTTCACAAACTGACTTCGTCTGTCGCTCCCTCACAGGTAAGATGTGCAGTCAGCTGTTCGTTAAGTGGTTTTTATTTGTGTTGCGGGCGGTTTGACGGACTCTCGATGTAATCTTTCCTGCTTGCTGAGTTGGCGGTGTGACAGAAGTGGAAATGTGCCTTAAAATAAAAGCCGGCGACAACAACAAACAACAAACAACCCCCCGGCTGTCATTGTGGTTTAAGTGTCAACCGTCCAGCGGCTAGCTTCAGAGTAGCCTCCAGTGAGAGGGCAGCGGGGACTCTGCTCCCGCGACTGTTTTGACATTTGCTTTGTGTGTCAGACGCTGTTCCTCCGACAGGCCTGCTGTTCATGTATCTACCAACATTATGGTGATACATTTTTAATGTTTAAGTCACTTGTGCTGTCGGTTTAAACACAGAGAAACAGTCTATTTCCTGGCGTGCCTGGTTGTACGCCGGCTGGGCTCGCGGCAGAGATGCTGATTCATCACAACGTTGTTATTTCTCAACGTTTGCGCGAGCAGAGCGGAGGCATGAGGGAGCCATGGCAACATGGCACCGGCGGCAAGCGGGCGGACAAAGGTCTGGCGCGAGGGAAGGAAGAGCTCGGTTTATATTGGGGGGTTTGGCTTTGAGATAAATAGGCCCGGTCATGTAGTGGATGTTGACGTGTTTATGGGATAATTAGAGCTCGCGTGGGCTGCGGAGTGTGTGTTTAAAATGTCATTAGTGCTAAATTTGTTCAGTTTTTGTGTCAGTGAGGTTTGGTTAGTCAGTGGGATCAAATACATCTTCAGTCAAAGTGGATTTAAGGCACAGGCTATGGGGGGGGTGCACACAGGCATGATAAATATCACGCTGTAAATTATTTAGGCCTAGTTTATTAACCTGTTTTCACTTTTGGGTTATGACTGGAATAAAACATCTTAACAGTTACAAGCAGTCAGCCAGTGATACTCACTGCCCTTGATAACTTGCGATGACCTCACTCACCTTCTCTCAAAGTCTACATGTTAAATATATTTTGGTTGAAAAGGAGGCATTCCCATGTCAGTTTATGTTATGTTCACTGCTCATGCAGCCACACAGAGGCTTGTGCTAAAAAAAGAAAGCACCTCAATGAACTGTAATGCGCTGCAACAGAATATCCTCTGATTGATCTCTTGTAGATGGGCCATTATCTGCTGCCTGGTAGCAACCTATGAGCACTGCGACTCTTAAACACTGAGGAGTATTAGGAAGGCTCTGTGGGCTCAAGAAAAACAGAAACTTCACCCCCTAATGACTCCATATCAGCAGCTTTAGTTAGAGTCAGCACTCTGCGGAGTGTATCAAAAGTATGTAGTAAGCAAGTTGGCAAGTACTGTAATAGAGGGTCATAATGATGAAACAGTTGTATCAGTATTGGAGAGAAGAGCAACCCCCCCTCACTGTCTCTCTCTCTCTCTCTCTCTCTCTCTCTCTCTCTCTCTCTCACACACACACACACACACACACACACACACATAGACACACACATTTTCCCCATTTCCTTTCCTCATTGCATGTACGCACACACACACACACACACACACACACACACACAACCAAGGGGCTAAACTTTTTTTATACTTGGTATCAGTATTTAATCAGTGCTTGAAGTGCATTTCTCTGTCAAGTACTTTCCCCATCCTTCCCTGGTGTTCACGGTAATTGAACGCTGACCAATGCTTATGTGTGCAACTTTGCTGATGGTGGCGGAGCGGCAAGGCGCGCGGAGCAAGGGGGATGAAGGAAGAGGGAGGAAGAATGAGAGATGGGATTTGCGGAGAGATTGAGAACAAGGACCTTTTTGTCTTCAAGGCATTCCCCTGAAAATGCTGAGGCGAAGCAAATGCGCTCTCGCTTGACAGATGGCGTTTTCACTTGTTACTTACCACAGCTAGTTTCCTTGCCTTGTCGTGTGCATGTGTGCATGTGTGTGTGTGTGTGTGTGTGTGTGTGTGTGTATGTGAGAGAGGGAGAGAGAGCAGGAGACATAAAACACCTATAAGATGCTAAGATCTAGTTGCTGTAGGCGCTGTGTGTGTGTGTGTGTGTGTGTGTGTGTGTGTGTGTGAAACAGAGAGAGCACAGTAAGCACCAAGGTTAAAAATTGTGTGTGTGTGTGTGTGTGTGTGTGTGTGTGTGTGTTAGGTGCACTTGCAAGATGTAGGAGAGGGAAGTGCTTTTACTATCAGTTGGCCATTACAACATTTTGCACTCGGCAGTTGATTCCTCTCCATCCTTTGACAATGTCTGACCTGAAGCTTCTCTCTCCAGGAGGAAGTCCTAAGTAATGAGTGTATCATCTCTGTTTTACCACATCAGACATGTGTGTGAGTGTGTGTTTGTGTGTTGAGTGTTCATAGAAACTTGTTTGACTCCCTGCATGTACAGAGGTCAGGTTGATGTAACACTGTGTAAAAGCTCCTCTAGGTATGTGAAGAAGGAGGGATGGGACAGGAGATTCTGAGCCTTTTATCCTACTGGGAGGAAGAGTTTAACTCGCGTTAAGAACTGAAAAGATTAGTCGATTAATCAATTAGTCAATTAGGGAATTTATCGGCAACCATTGTCTTACTTTTTTAGTGAAAACTTTAAAGAATGACTGGTGCAGTCTTCTGAAATGAGAATATTACTGTTTTTATTACCCTCTTGTGGTAGTAAACTGAATATATTGGGGTTTAGAGATTTGGCTGGATGCATCGCATTTATAGATCTAGATTTATAGACCAGTCTATTATTCTAGAAATAATTGTTCCTATCGATTGCCTTAAAAACTTTGTCTAGGTTTGTGTTTTATTTTGGGCTGCAAGTAATTATTATTTTCCATTATTTATTAATCTGCAGATTATTTTTTGGAATGATCAATCAGTCTATGAAACATAACAAAAGCAAAATGTGATGTCTTCAGATGTTTTATTTTGTTGACTAAAGGTCCAAAAAATATGAAATGTGTAGTTTACAATGATATATGAGAAAGAAAATCAGCAAATCGTCTCATTTGAGGGCAGAGAGCAGAACATTTTTGGCATTGTTTCAGTGTTCTTGCTTGAAAAATGACTAAAACAATAAAGCCTTTATGTAAATTTTGCTGATGGACTAATTGATGTTGATCAGCCAATCAATTATTTGTTGAATTGTTTATGCTCTTTGATGCCTTATGCCTAATGTGCAGTAAGCTACTTACTGATACACGCACCTGAACAAAATTCTATTTGATAGCTTACTTTAAGGAATATAAAAATGTTCTTCTGCAAACCTTCTGTTAACAAAACAATATTAATGTCTAAAATTCATCAGTGTTTAAGGTTTTTTTTCCTTTCTTCTTTAGGCAAGAACTTTGCCTAAATTATAGTCTGAAGTGAGAATAGTTGTAATATTGCCAGGAAATATCAAATTAAAGAATAAGCAAACAATACTAAGAACCTGAGCAAGGTAGTTGACCGTTTTTGCTACTTATTTTAAGGTGATGTTTTGGTCCTAACACCGAGCCTTACATTGTATCATGTTCCTGTTGTACTGTTGCTGGATCCATCCCCGCTCTGGGAATTGTGTTAAAGAAGAAACTTCACAAAGCCTTTATTGCAGCACTATAGTGCTGGATTGCATTAGATTGCACAGGTGTTCACAATATTGTGTCCACCTCCTGTGTGTGTGTGTTTGTTTGTGTATGCGTGTGTGTGAAAGAGTTTGGTGTTTGTGGAGATAATTTCTGAGCGGCGCCTGCATGTTTATGATCTTGTTTACTACTGGGATCCATTTCAGAAAAGTCTTGTTATGTTTGCAAATTTTCAGAGAGTGGGAGAGAGGTAAAAAGAGATAAGTAAAAGCAGGAATAAAAGACGGAATGGGAGAGTGGGTGAGAGAGGGAGACAGAGAGAAGCAGAGAGAAAAGGAAGCAGTGGGGCAGATCAATAGTTGAGTGTTTTTTCTCCACAGTAATGATGAAATATGGTGTAAGCAGATCTGGTGCATAATCATTGCTGTGCTCCACTGTTTTCGCTGCTTCCGTGTGAGTGTGCTGCATGTCCTTGTGTTGTTTTGACTTAGTGTGTGTGTGTATGTGTGTGTGTTAAATGCACCCTCCCTCCACAAGTGTCTTGACTCCTTATTTACATAACCTCACCGAGAACCGAAAAATGTAGGAAACCAAGATAAATCCCATTGCAACACACATGAGAAGTCAAAAGGATTAAGAGATGGGAAACATGTTTAAGTGTCTCAAATTACTGATCCAACCTCCTGTCCTGAAATGTGTTCAAACACCAATATCACAAAGCCACTTATCTGCACTGTATCAATAATCACTCCATGATCAGCAGCTTCAAGTTCTCATGTTTTCTCTCCAAGGACCTTTGGGTTTATTTTGGAGCTTTTTGAGAAGGCTCCAGTTAAAGGAGAGACATACTCGTTCCCACACATACACAAATAGACACACATACGCTCCATACTAGAGCTATGATTTTGTTTTGCATGCAGTGTTGAGATATCGAGAATGTAGCCGTGGAGATGCAAGGCCCTGGTAACAGGAGTATCCGTACCAGCGGTTGTCTACCAGTTGCATCATCTCTATGCGCCAAATTGACGCATTTTTTAACTGCAGTGTGACGATCCTAGAATTGTGGTATGAATTTCTGAGCCTTTTAAATAAGAAAGCACACACACACACACACGCACTGTGGATCAATGCCAAGGAGCAAAGAGAGGGAACAGAGACATGTGTGTGTGTGTGCCTCAAATGTGGCACCTGCTCTTTGCCTTCACCTGTGACATGAAATTATTTCTGTGCAGCAACAGTTCTCACCTGACTTCTAATTTCCCCTGTTCACACTTAAGCCTAGTTTGGAAACTTCATCAGAGATGTTCTGAAACAAACTGGGTGCATCTTTAAAACACCTCTATGAAATCACCTTCAGAGTGATCGACTGTAACTCAGGTGATGGAGTGCTGGAGTCAACTTTTTAACCATTAAACCTGATTAGAGGTATTTATATTGATCCTCTCTGGGGG